GCCACCAGGGTCGTGTATCGAAACGGTTGGCCTGATCATACGCATCTGCTGCATAAAATCGCGTCTCGTGTGCTCTTCTCTGTCTCGTAATGAAAACACGTTGCATACAAAACCCCGTTGTGATCGATGGTCTATGCTCCGAATATAATCTCTCTCACCGCGACACATACCACTAAGCGGATGATCACCTTATCCTTGCTCTACTCTCCGGAGACAATCAATATCTTTTCTTCTAGAAACGGAATAATTGTAGCTTTCCACCCTGGGGTCCCTTTGATTTGGGTGTACCACGGCTTGTTAGCCATTTGCCTTCCTCCGTGGGTTTCGGCCACCTTAACCACGTCTCCCTTCAGCGCTGTAAGTTAATTTCCGTAGAGAGTCAGGATTAGTTTTGTCTCGACCTCTTATCGGCAGCAGCGTGTCTCCTAGTTTCTAACGTGTGGCTGATCACTCTGGGTGATGCCTACGATGTGCTTGGCTCCGCTGACCCCACGCACAGACCCAGCAAATCAGCAAGAAACAGACGATTTCGAAATGCCCCAGCATGCTTGTACTTTAATCCTAAAAATATCAGCGGGTTATAAATGTCATTATCGAAATTCGACTCCCTAAGCTTGTCCGGTGGGCACGTTCTCACTCTTCTCCCTATTCAGGTTCATAAACCCGCCACCAATCCTCGATATCAACTTCTCTTAGGCACTGTAATGGCGTCAGTCTCCACTTTCAAACCAACAGCTCAGGATCCTACACTCTCCACTGTTCGACGAACTCGCGCCCAGAACAACAATGATAACATCTCCTCCGCAGCCTCATCCTTACGCGGCTATATCCAAGCTGCCCAGAAGTGTGCGCTGTCGCTCCTCTACCGCAGGCCAATCCAAAGCTATCTTCGCTTGGCTAAAGTTGTGCGTGGGCGGTTCACGCAGAGGAGGGAAGACCCGGATGTGCCAAAAGTCACGACCCCGGCGGACAACTTTACACAGAAGGTCCGATTTGATGAACTAGGCAGAGCCGGGTTAGATGCGGACCCCGACTATTTCTCGGTGCGTATCAGATCCTCGATTCGTTTAGCCAGTTTCCTGACCTGCAAGACTCCTCTCGTCCAGACAAAGTGACAAATTATCCTCGAATGACGGAGCTTCGTAATGACGGAATTAGAATGACAATTCATTAGAAATCTCTGTATTCTGTGTGTGCATTTGGCAGTAAATCGATATTTAGCAGCCTAGATCTTCGTATTCGGAAAACGGTACTGGATGACCGTTTTGTAGTCGTATAAAAGGACGTGCCGAGGCGGGTTTTAGCAAGCTTTAAAGGCGTCGGTGTACTATAGCAATGAAAGGAAACGTGCAAATATTAACGAGTTCTGAGTTCAGACAACACCCCATCCCGATGCAAGGCGGCAGAGATGAGGCATACCCACAGGTGCGGGGTGCCGAAACAGGAATCACTACCATTCTAGTACTTCAGGCTCAGGGTTTCGGAGTTTCGCGTACACTGATGCTTAAAGGCAATGTAAGATGTGAAAGGCCAATCTTTGTTCTACCTCAACTGAGCAGAACGACACCCGATGCCATGTAGCGCGCGGCCTCGAAAGCGGACATGCCTCAGAAAGGCAGCTCGTCCAGAAGTGAGGTGATTTAAGAGCTCGCATCGGCTTGGTCGGAACACTCTGCAGACTGGCGTTACCTGTGAAGGTGCGTCTCCAGGGATGATGTCTCTATCCGGACCGACGTTGGCTCGGAGAATGGAGGGATGGCGGAGCCGACTAGGCGTTGTTGGGTTGAATGGAAATAGATATGTTGCGAAAGAGAATAAAAGAGTGGTTACCGTTGCAGTTAAGGCCGTTGGCAGATGGGAGACGGAGATTTCCGCCTATGTCCGGGCGACCTCCGTTCGCCTCGTCTAGCACTCATGCACCTCCCACTCATCTTTCATGCAGAAAAATTCGGTGACTAACGTCGGCTTTTAATCGAAGACGATTCCTAAATTTCAAACGTTCTTATTTCGAGCTCGAAGCTTGCTGCTCATTACCAATGCGGGCCACGATCGATACTCTCACACATAGCCAGACCCCCAATTTACCCGCCCCCGGTTGCTGCGCTTCCTTACAACCAGTAATCAGGTCTCGGCTGAAAGGGCTAACATTGCGCTCGCACACGACGCTCTTTTTTGCCTTAACCCTCGACGGCCCGGGGAAGCTTGAATCCCCGTCATCCGGTGAACCAGAATGGATACTCGTTTTTGCTGCAGTTATAACGTAGCAAACAAAAATTTTGGGGAGTAAGAATGGTGTTCGTTCTGCATTTGGTGCTCAGTAATAAAGCAGTTGCGCAACCAGCTCAAAATAAGCAATCCTGGCCAGATCCCTAGCTATATGGCTAGAAACTTCACACCGCCCCGGTTTCCATATCCAAAAGATTGGATCGCTTGGCTTTTGCAGGTCCCTCTACACTCCGGGCGTCATATCTGTAGAGACTAGGCAAAAGTATCTTGAAAGCCGGTTCCCGGTTGTGATGGGAGTGAAGAGCAAGGATAATTAACTGGTACTCAATGGGCGTCGAGAGGTTCCAGAGAGAGCACTTCTCCGTCCAGTAAACATTCATTAGCGTTCCTTTCTGGCGGTCGCGGTTCGAGAACGGGGCGCTCAATTTCACGCGCTATCTTCCTTAAAGATAACGTCCTCTTCGACCCCTCCTATACTTCTACGCAGCAGGTCGATCTGCCATGCAATTAAAATATGCCTCACTGGAAGAGCGATCCATTAATGGGAGGTTGACGCTGACCCTGCGGCAGTTTATTACACGTGCACACACAACAGTCGAGAAGGTGCTATAATCGCAAATAGCACGGTAAACCTATTCAATTCTTCCACCTTTCCGATTGGTGTTGGTACATGATGCATCTTACCCGACGAGGCTAAAGGGGGCGTACTACGCATGTGATGATAAAATTGGGATCCGAGAGGCGAGACGCAGAAAGCCGGAAGAACGAAGTTCACCTCTCCGCGCCTCGTTAAGGTAAATTTATGAGGATGAAAGGAGGATGAAGGGAGTTTAAGGCCGTAGAAACGCCTCATGAAGGTTTGGGGAAGGCCATTTTTCGGCGTCTGACCTCCTCTATGTCGTATGATGGACTGCATCCAGAGTATAAATACCGGAAGCGATCGACTAGGGTATTCCAAGGAATATAAGTTCAATCGATCCCACTGGACACTCATCAGCCTCTGCCAGGCGGTACGCTTTGAACGGATAAACGCTATTGTTTTTTAGAAACGGAAGAACTCGGGCCCTCTCCTTACATCGATCGTTTATTGAGACATGCTGACAACCCAGGACGTAGACCGGAAGAATAATTGCCTTGAATCTCCACCCCTTGTGGCTATCACACATCCCGTTAATGGCTTTCTTTCTGGGGTTTACGAGTTCCGAAGCCAGATTCAACACCAGTTCAAACCGTCCGCGAAAATGCGAGTGTCTTCAACAAAGCCTATCCAAGGCCACGCAGGTCTTCAGCAATGACCACAGCATCGTCGCATACATGAGTTGTTCCTCTCAGTGCAAATACACACACCCATGTTACGCTTCGTATTTTTACAAATCTAGCCGTGGTCAAACTCATCCCAACAGTTCCGGCCCTATACCGGAAGTACGAATTCCCACCGAAGCGGAATGAAACACTCCCAGCTAATGATTTTCCCGTCGAGGGTAACTCGAATCCACCCAGCAGTCCTCCTGTGAGAACTCAGACTAGAATAATGACTCTGAAACGTTTCTCAAGGTGGAGTGCAAATCTCGAACCCAGCTTGCAGTGTTGCCGAATCATGATGAAACCAACGACACAAAGACTGGGTCGAGTACATCCATCCCAAAGGCAACACGTACTACTACAACGCTCAAGCTGGGATCGTGATCAATACCGACCCGCGACGAGATGAAGTAACTGCCGGTTTCAACAATGCCCTCGAAAAGATTCACCATCGATTGTCCATCTCCGAATCAAAGCCAGACACCTTCAAGGTATACCTCGGCATCTCCAACGGCTCGATATTAGAAAAGGGTGCCGTTGAATACGATGTGGTTGACTACGACCAGAGATCTATCTTTCAGGGTGAAGACCTGGATATTTTAACTGACCGGCCAGGCCCGGCTTCGGTCCGTGATCTATTTGAATCACCGGATAACCTGCGTAAGTCAACGAACTTTATCCTCAGTAAATGATGTCTGAGTTCTCTTTTGTCTCTAGGCTTGGTATTAGAACTTGAATTTTGGATGCACATGGCGTATTGTTCCTACCATCAGCCGACATAGGATCACAACGCTGAAAGGGAATGACTGCGTGTCGCCCACGGTCGTGACGTCGCCGCGCGGCAATACAGGAATAAGCTGAGGGAGAAGTGGAAACACGATGTGGAGGTCGGAAGGATCACCTTGCTCGGTATTTGTGGGAGATATTGTCGTTGTCATTCTGCGCGATGGCTCGCGCGTTGACCTTACCTAAGCCGTTGTCTGCCTCCAGTACGGTGCACGCCCACTACCCCACCATAATCCCGCCCACCCTGATCCTGCCCTTAAACCGTAGCAAAGTGAGGGTTCGGCATTGTGATATTGTATCGGTTCAGGTCCTGGCGCGCGGCGAGGGACGGGAGTCGACCAAACTTTCAACACAACTAGGCACACAACAAGGTAGATCCTTACATAGCGCTCGAACCCCATAATTCAGACGGATCTCCACTTTCCCTCGCATCCCTCGGTTCCCATGAGACGCATGTTTCACTCCGCCCACCTGGTTACAATGGCCCCGTCGCACATTAGAGCTAGCAGACTCGACCTGTATCGATTTGTTTGTGAACGCCGCCGCCTCGAGACTGCGCCTTGCACGCCATCCCTTTTTTTATTCTCGACGAAGACTCAGTAAGCTCTGAACAAATCAGCAGGCGAATCAGTCAGACGACTTATACTACGTAGTATATAATTTGAGTGGAGATTTGACACCGGCCTGCCTGGCTAGCTCAATCGGTAGAGCGTGAGACTCTTACGTAAGTGATCTCAAGGTTGCGGGTTCGACCCCCGCGTTAGGCTACTGGAGAAATTCTTTTGTCTTTCTAATCATTTTGCTTGATTTTTCGTGAATTTGCGGCTTGGCGACCTTTTTTTTCTCACTTTGGTGGCTTGAAATGGATCTCAAGTCCAGGATCTTACATCTCGAGCCTATCGCTGAATCACTTGCATCTGTGCTCACCAGAAACCTAGCCAATCACAGCCTTGCGTCTAAAATATAATCTTGCAAAATAAGTGCCTTAAGGACCACCAGACTCCTAGGCCGCGAGAGGACCTGCCTACCCCAAGAGTCGAACCCGCAATATCAACCTGGCTCAGGTCGACGTTCCCCTTCCCCTTCCCCAAAAGCAAGCCCCGACAAAGATACGGGGAACCCAGTGCGCTCCACCCGTTAGGAAAGCTGTTCGCAAACGTCGTCAATACTTACGCACGTCCAAGAACAGAACGGGTTCACCGCTCCGCACGCCATCCTCGCGAAGCGGGCCACCCAAGCCCAACAGCTCATGTGATGACGTCACGCTTTGTCTTGCAGGCGGTGACAAACCCAAACTGCCAATCTAGGGCCCACAGTCTACATAATCGTACCCACTACCCGCTTTCGTCCGACGAGCAGTGCTTCGTGAAAGCCGAGGGTGACGATAGCAACAAGTGACCAAAGACACACACGACGAAAAGACTGAAGGGAGAGAGGGGGAAATCTCTCTTTGGGATCATTAGACCTTAGCGTCACCAATAAGAATCCGACAGCGGATTGGCTGGGAAGCGGGGGACGGGCTTGAACCTTGCATAGCTCTATACAATATTGACGTGAGGATAGGCAACAATGAGACTTTAGCGTTATCGTTCGCAGCGAGAACGGTACCGATAGACGGAATCGTTTGCACCACGAAAGACAGAAGACAGGTCGGTTCGATGAAGGAAGTCTTGCAATTATAAGTGGCGTCGTCGTCGCCTGGGACCCTGACCAAAACGATGCGCCGACGACAACGACAGCGAGCAGCTCCCTTACTTGAGGAATCTGTAGGCCGCTCGATATTTTGTGGCTGCCCGCGATATTTATCTGAACCGTCGCCCAATTTTGATGCCCGCCGCGAGACTTCACCATGCGACTCTTCCCTCTGAACCCCAGCCCGCACATTTTTACCTGTATCTCACACTTGGACTCAGGACACTCAGAAAGGCCCTTCATAAGGGGCTAGTGTAGAAAGTTTCGCGCGGGATTTTTTCCCCACTTGGAATGCCGTACACACGTGTGACCATGGCAAAAGCCTTCCAATCCATTTGGGGTTGTCCATCGATGCTTTGTTCACGAGTACAAATGAGCCGTCACTCGAGGAGTTTCTGGAGCATTTGTAGCGCACAACTGTCGGTCGTGCCACCCCAACACCATTTAATTTGTAAATTGATTGGCTCGCAGATTAGCTGAGAAACCAAGGTTACTCTATATGGAGTAGCTATCAGCGCACTCGTGGTTTTTGAAGAAGCGTGGGCACGTCTAAAAGTTGGTTCGCTGTGTTTCGCTCCAGACTGATTTGATCCGGCATTTGAAACGCTGGTCTCGGTCATATGTACACCACATATTCTAAATGAGTTACACATCGCGTGTCAACTCTTCGATATTGAAGATCTGTTTCATTGCTACAACTTCAGTCAGGCACAGATGGCTCTCATCGACTTCAAGAGCTAAGCATGGAACCAAGGGTAAATCGCCCTCAAGCTCTACTTCCAGAGCCTGAGGAGTGATTCAAATTTATTCATTGTAACAAGAATTCATGAGGAGGGATGAAGCGATGCCCAGTCAACCTCCCTTTACTACTAAACTCGATCCCGTCTTAGATTGGTTGCTTTCTTGTAAGCCAGTCGTAGACAGTACCCGCCAGCCGATAGTACGCCCGGATTGGGTAGTGGTGAAGCAATGAGATCGCGCGATATTGCATGGCTTTTGTCACGTTGCGGCATGATTCGACTGTAGTCCGATTCATTGTGGTGAGCGATAGCCTTTGGCTCTGTAGGTAAACTCGAGGACGAGTAAAAGTACGACACGCAAAACTCGTGGTGGTGGTGTGGTTCTAGGATGAGAACAACGGTCGTCAG